TATATATATTTATATATATACACACACACACACACACACACACACGCACACACACACACATATATATGTATATAGTTATGTTACTGAAAACCATGGTCATTTGTTAAGCAACATCAGCAATAATGGTCATTGCAATGAGTTTGTTTTGGGGTTTTGGGGTGTTGCTTTAAAGAGTAACAACAACTTTCTTTTGCAGTAGTACTCCCCAAGACCTGTAAACTGACTTTGATGTGTAAAATGTTTGGAGTTCCCATTCAAAGCAGCTTTAAAGTGCTTATGTCTTGTGATTGCCTTTTACTATATTCCATTTCTGAAATGTCCATATTTACTCGTTAAAGATACAAAATGGTTTGTGTGAATTCCCTTACAGATAAGGTCTGTGTGTTTCTCATGGTATTTGAAGTGCAGCAGACAGTAGAGGGCAGCAGCAGTTAAGGTAAAGCTTTGCAGACCTCCAGCTTGACAGAGATCCGGACAGCTGTCTTATGCATTTGTTAATCACTCACATACACTGTGTGAAACACAAACTTTAATTAATTTAATTGTTTAACTCATTAAAGTCAGTCTAATTTCTGTCAGTAGCACAGTGGTGTGGTTGAATATTTTTATCCATGTGTCCATTTGTCCTTTACTCACAGTATCACTTCATATATGAACCACTTACTGATTGCCACACAGATTAATTAGTCACAAAATAGTAGACTGAGTATATTTCTTTCTAAATGTTATGTCACATACTAAGGACTGGCATAGCTTGAGTGACAGATGCAAGATGTCTGATTGAGTTATTTCGTCTTGTCTTGACGAGTGACAGAGTGACACCCTTTGGTGTGGCGCATTTTGCAAAATGCTGTGACAGCTCCATCTCTCAATTGTTGGCTTCTCCAGTCGCCTCTGTGGCATAATAGACCTGTCATCAGCATCGTCCTCCACCATCCCTCTTGTGCTTTTGTCTAGACAGCAGTTTATCAAACATCTCCATCTTTTATCTTTTATTTTTTCAAGCGTAGATAAGGAATGTCAAATGTGGCGTTTTCAATACTACAGTGCCAGATTGGATATAGATAAATGTTTGACCTCGTTGGGCACTGTGTTCGGTTTTCTATAGATTAATGTGCTCTCTTGGAACTTGCTCACTGCAAAAATCTCCATCTTAATAAGTAATTTTCTTCGCCCCACTGAAGAAAATGATTCTACCCATTTCCAAAACAAATCATCTTGCTTGAAATATTTTCTAGAATAAAGTATCATTCCTCTTGATTTTATTTGGTAGTCTGTCCTTATCTTGTGGTCATTTTTAAGTAAGTCAATGTCTGTTAGAAAAAATAGTCTCAACCAATTTGTATTACACATTGTGATTATTTTATGTTGAGACAGCATTATGACTATCATCCAGAGAGATAAAATGAGAGAAAATAAAATGGAACAGTTAACTAAATAAACAAAATATGAATAAATCTAAATGATTTAAACATATTAGAGACATTTTCATGAATGAATTAACCAATTATTGGTTAAGAATTAAATCTTTTGTGGACACAATTTAGTTCTGCATAAAGTATTTACAGTGGGGATTTATTTAAAAATGTATAGGATTAAAAAACAATGAAATATGATTGTGTAGCAGTGATGATGCAGAACTGACAGTAATGACATTCTGATCTATTTCCATTCCTACCAGGTCATCCTCAGCTTCCTCTTTACCTGACAAACTGTCTGCTGCAATGTCCAGAGGAAGCTTGTGGAGAAGCAGAGCATTCTCATGCTTCTGACTGTATGTTAGGGCTGCACAATTAATCTAAATATTATTGAGATCGCAATATGGCATAATGAGTAAATATTTATAAGAAAACAAAACATTTTTGTACAGACCCCAACACAACATCATGATTTAAATTGTTTTTTAGTAATATTTTTTATAAAATTATGATACATAAATGATCATTCCCACTAATCGTATCGCAACCGTGTATCTATATCTGTCAGAATAATCACAATGTTGCCATATTATGTAGCCCTACTATACTGTGTGTATACTTTTTCCATACAGAAATACACCTATTTCTTTTTCAGAGCTTGTGCCCCGTGACAATTGCAGCTGCATCTCTTCAGCGTGAGCATGGCATGTCATAGACTTATGTTGCCAAGGCATATACAGGAAAATAGTTGACAGAGGCAAATATAGAACGAAATTATACCTTAAAGCAGTTATATCACAAAAGAATGATCAAAGAACAACATAAACAAGATCCTTATGTATCTTGGGTATCCTCTGATTATACATATGTTGTCATTTCAGAAGCTCCATGTATGGAAATCTTATTCAATAAACTTATTATACATATCATTAAAGACAGCTTTATGTATGTCCACAAGTTATTTGTCATGTCTGTGTTACCTTGTGGGAGCAGATAATGATCTGAGCGTCTAGTCTTGCAGTGTTTCTGTCTTTCTTTTCATGGCAGGTTTATAAAGCTTGAAATAGTAGGTAGGCAGGTTAGCTGAGCATATTAACTTTTACGTCAACACCTTTTTAACAGTTTAATAGAACAGCAGAAACCAAATAAAAACAACAGACAGTTTAATTCATTCAACATTTATTTTAATTTGACAGTGAATTGCAGGCTCAGTGAAACCAATCAAAGGCAGGTAGAGATCAAATGCTACTGAAGTTACAGAGAGATATGAGTGGTTTGACTTTTAGATGATATTGTATTTTATTCCATGATGAACGTGCTGTTCAACAAACAGCAAAGGCAGTCTAACCAGTTCTGGTTCAGTGCTCCTGGAGCATTAAATCAGTCAGTGGAGCGTGTTAAATATTGAGTGCCATAGCAGCAAAGATGAGATATAAGATAGCAATTTTCAAACAATGTTGCATCAGTACCAGTGGTTATTACATCTCTCAGACAGGGGAGGCTAACCAACTTTACCATATAGAAAGCAGTGGTGAACTGGAGGGCAGAGTGGTAAATGAAATCTAGGGGCCTCAGAGGGGAGGCAGCAGCATGTTAAAATCTGAAATCCCCATAATCCAGAACTCAGAGGAAAACTGGTGCAACAATATTATTTCTACAAGGCAGAGGGAAGCTGCTTCTGTTTCTATACCAAAAGTCTGTCACAGTTTACCAACAAGGTTTTCTACATGATATTTAAAGCTAGATGCCGAGATAGCTAGATTCTGTGTCCCTTTCAATAGTGCAGAAATATATATTATTGTTATCTATATCTCTGGGTCTGCATGAATTATTATTTTATTTTATCATTACTAATTTAAGAAGTACTAATTTAAGGTTAATAAGAATATCTTACAGTCATTAAACCTGAATTTATTTATTTTCTGGCCACTTTGGCACAGCAGAACACACAACGTTGACGTCAACTAATAAAGCTAAGGTGGCTTTAATCATTATTTTTTATAACAGTGGATCAAATGAGTGTTTAATGAGAAAAGGGTCGCTTTTAATGACAAACCAACAGAGAATTATTACCTGACTCTGTGGTTCCCCTCAGCCCTACGGAGCATTATATAATTTTTCAGCTCATTGTTTTCATTTCCTAGCCCACAACTTTATTGTTTTGGTTCTCTCTAACTTAAACTCTCTTTACCTGGTCAGCACCAGCACAAATAAGCAGTGTTACCAAACTCCAGAGGTGGTTTGTGCAATCAGATTTTAATCCATCTTGTATGCATTTACACTTTTTTTCAATCGGAGAGCTGTCCAATCCAGCCAAGAGACATTGTCTTATTATCCATTATTATTATAAATATTAATTAGACTCCTCAGTGATTTCTCAGTGAATAAGTGATCAACAACACAATAAATTGTATCATCTGCATATAGGCGGATTTTACAGCATTTTGTTCAAATATGTTGTACACATAGTGAAGGAATGTATCTCTATAATAAAAATAATAATACAAAGTATTTTATAGATCTATTTTGTTGTGCATATGTGTCTATTATAAGAGGCAGAAAAATAGACACATATCTATAAATTCATTACACATCTCCCTCACTGAATGTGTCAATATGTGCGCTCAGGCATATGCAAATAGACAGTGTGTAGTTGTAGAGGGGGGGTGTTCTCTCTTTACCTTCTGATCTCTCCACCCCCCCCTCCTCTCTCTCCTCTCTCTCTCTCTCTCTCTCTCTCTCTCTCTGTTTTCTCCACACCCGGCTCTCATTCCATCAGGTCCTCACAACACACACACCACAGCCTCCAAACGCCTCATCTCCTCCACCAGAGCGACAGGATCAGAGAGAGGAAGAGTGGAGGTGACGGGAGAACAACAGCAGCATCACTGACAAGCGTCTCCCTCACCGGGGGAGAGAGGGAGAAAGAGGTGGGGAGAGCAGAAGTGCAAAGAGTGAGGAGAAAAGAAAAGAGGACAGAGGGAGAGGGAGCAAAACAGTGAGAGAAATAAGTTTTTAGTTGGAGGGAGGACAAACAAGGGAGAGTTTGGAGTAAGGTGGGTGGCAGTCGGGGGACTGCTAGCTTCATTTTCCCTTTTCTTTTCATCGGCTGTGAGCACCGCCTGCCTCCTCTCGTGTCCTTCTCCCCTTCCTCCTCCTCCTCCTCTTCTTCCTCCTCTCTCCTCCTCTTCTCATCCCGACTCCTCTCCCAGCTCCCGCCGTGGGGTCTCAGCTCTCCGTCTCCCTCCCCCCCTCCCTTGCTCCCTACCTCCCCCGGGCCCTCCTGGGAGCCTCCGGGCTGCTGCGTCGCAGGAGGATGTCTCGCAGGGAGTCTCCTCCGCCACCCTCGCCACCTCCACCTCCACAGCTGCTGGGAGTGCGGAGAGGAGAGGTGGAGTGTGAGGATCGTCCAGAGCGCGCCGAGCCTCTGACTGATGCCGAGAGGGAGATCATCCAGGACACGTGGGGGCACGTCTACAAGAACTGCGAGGACGTGGGAGTGTCTGTGCTCATAAGGTGAGTTTAGTTAAGAGGTGAGAGCAGAGGGTTTTTTTGTCACTGTGTCTCAGTGTGTGTAAACTTTTGAACAAGAGATGAGTGAATGCATTCTTTACAGAGTAAGATGCTTAAGTTTAAGGGTGTGTGTGCTGATGTAACGCCATCAGTTCACTCATGTTTCAGCTTTCTCTGTCTCTTGCTCTGTTTGTGAATCCTGGTACTTTCTATTAATTCTCTGGGGTCAAATCACCTTCCAATGCATCCTTAACAATTTGTGGTTGGAAAGTTAAGTAATGGATGAATGAACATGAATATGTAAAAACTTAAAGAAAAAAACATCAGAAAAATGAAACACACCTTTTTATAAAATCATTGTTTATTGTACACTGTAAAACATTTCAGGTGATGTTTGCTTGACTTTCTTCTCCACCGTAACGCTAAAGGCTCATTGGAATGCTTGACATCTCTGCTGAGGTAACTGGAGAATTGCTTTGAGTAAGGTCTTTCTTAACCCTTTTTTGTTGCTGGTGAATATCCAAAAAAATACAGAGACCACTTGCACCAAATGTGGTGAAAAGACACCAGTAGCAAAACTATTTCATGCAATATTTTGAATAAAAAACCAAAACAAATTTGGGATATCTGAATAGTGCATCAAAAGTAAAGATTAGAAGTTGTAGCAGGAATCAGTGAGATTTGATATGAACTTGTGAAATTTCATTACTATCAGATTTAAGAAAAATCTGAGTAATTTTAGTTCTGAAACTTTCCTCTACATGTTGTTTTTCACCCAACATCAACATTTGTAAATTTAAATAATCGTATGAATACATTTCAGAACACTTTTTTTCTTTTAACCCTTAACCTTTGTGTAGAGGTTATGACAGGTGACATTTTGTCACACAATAATAATGTATTGTATAAATATGTAATATGTATAAAGGGAAAAAGCTGAAATCTGCCTTGAGATAAACTATTTGACATGAACTCAGTAGTGCACAGTGCAGGTTACTGTGCTGATGTTTTGGAGGGTGTTGGTTTACTGATGATGTTAAACTGCTATAGAAGTTTCTTAATTATTTGGTTTAGTAGCTTCTTTGCCAGCTTCAGCTTTAGGCACACAGACTTGTGTAGGGAAATTAATTGAATTGAATGAATTTGATTTGAACTCTAGAAGCAGAGTATGACTCATATAATGCAAATACTCTGTGTACCTAAAAACCCAGAAGTTCTTCCCAGATTTTTGGGACATATATAGGGTTAGATGGAAAATGTCTCCAACATGCGATTTAAGCAATGCAATGGTGATATCAGTATGAGGTCAGAGTAGATTATTACGGGAAACAAAAAAGCACAATGGTGCATCAAAGAGTGTCCCTTCCCATCCACAGCTACAACACCATGTCAATCAAACACTGCCAACATCACATCTACTGGAGCAAGCACCAGTGTATGTAGAAATACTGTTAACAAAAATGACACCTATGGCTGTTAATACATAAAGAGCAGCTTTAACAGCAGCTGAAAATCTTGATTTTGCTGACCTTCAGTGGTTTCATCCTCTACACACACACACACACACACACACAAGAAGATGGATCAGCAACGGTTTCTGACCCATGTAGGAAACCCAGTGACAACAATAATGGAGGCTGCATTTTGCATGGGCCACACACACGCACACACACACACACACACACACACACCATCTTCTGTACTCATTCCCTCAACCTCTCACCAATAACTGAGCTGTGACAAGTGTAGGGAAGGAAGGAACATTGCATTCCTCTCTCATTAACATGCTGAAGAAATACTCCGTAATCCACTGCTCCTCACAACAGTATGACGGGATACCCAACGTCTGTGAATGTGTTGAATTTGTGCCTCGTGCATTTACATTTATTGTAAAATTCATGTATAGATGAGAGCTTATGCCTCATACATTTTCATCTTTAGATATACTGTGAGCACCTTGTTCTTGTATTATTCACGGCTGTTGCTGAACCATTGCTACTGTCTTCTTAAGTTGTCAAAACATATCCATAACCATAAAATCAAACACTTTCTCCAAGAGCATAATCTTCAACAGGCAGTAATTCTCTGTGAAGCTTCGCTGCAAAGTGTTGAAGACCAACTGGATGTAACACAGCTTGACTGTGTTTTTCTTGCTTCTTTTCATGTTTTTCTATATATCAAAGAAGAAAGACTTGATTCGTTTGAATGCCTCCAGCTAAACTGTCTCAGTGTTACACTAAGAAAGCCCTTAAGGGCTTGTTAAAATGGACAGCAAGTCGTAGCCAAGGAGACTGATATGAGTGAGACAAACTGATTTTCAGTTTGGGGTGACAAGAATCCCTGAGGGAGAAAGTGGAAGGGGCAGAGAGCATGTTTTCATGTGTGTGTGTGTGTGTGTGTGTGTGTGTGTGTCTTGTGTAGCTTATCTGTGGATGACAGCAACAAGCTTTGGCACTTACATAAATGTCTCCCTCCATGCCTCGCTATCTGTCCTCTCCTCTGTCACGCCTTTCAAATTTCTTATATATTTTACTCCATGGCCGATAAGATGATATATTCTTTCAAATCTCAGTTGGTTGTGATGACCATCAAAATCATCATCAGAGCTGGCAAGCACATTATATATCCAGGACTTTGTTCTGCTGACTCTGGTGTAGATACATACTGACAACTTAGAGGTTCTCGTAGCTGAGGAGCAACAGAGCAGACTTAAAGTGTTAACAGGGTGCAAGACAAACAATGACAGAATACACACAACTAGAGCTGCAGCTGATGATTATTTTAATTATGGATTTAATCATACTTAGTGCCATTCATAAATACCAAAACAAGAACAGACATCAGCTTTCACAATCATTTTCTAGAATTAATTATTTGTAGTTAGTCCATACCAATTATGTAAGCTTTTCCCCAAAGTGATAAACGAAGAAGAAGAAAACGCTTTCACCGTTTACACACCTATAAAACAGTAGTCGAGTATCAGTGAGTTTTTGGCATTTTTGCTTGATAAATTATTCAATCCAAAATCCATTATCAGTGTTGTTGAAGTGATATTGAGCTCAGATCTGATTTTTTTTTTTTTTAATGACACAGCACAAATCAAATAGATTCTGATCTTTTTACATTTTGATTCAGGCCACTTTCATATGTGGTCCAGATCAGATACAGGTCTGATCACACAGGAATCTGATATGTTCCACATTTAACAAATCATTTGAACAGCCAAACAAAAAATTAAATAAAATCAGATTTGAGGCTCGCAGTGTGAACGTAGCCAAAGAGTATGAGCATCAACAGTTGGCTGGCAGTTCCTCAGTTACCTAACATAACCAGAGGCTGACACTGGGTCAAATTCTTGCACGGTTGAAATCAGTGCACAACATCCCCATGTGAACATAGATTTGCATTTTCATGTCAATCCATCTGCCTGGATGCATGTAGAGAACAGACAATGACAATAGCCTCAGTTGATCTCACCAATGCGTACAAATGCAATTGCACCAAAGAGTGAGCGCACCCCAGGCATCAGCAGAACAGTGCATATGGCAGCTTTGTGAATACAATCAAACCCTGCATACATTCACTCAGATAGTATTGTTGTAGTGAGGGCGCTGATGGGAGGATTCAAGCACATTTTCACCAAGCAGAAGATAATTAACTGAGTCTAATTTCTCTCTGAATTCCCTGTGTTATATAACTCTACCTTGCGATCCACCAGGACTTGTGTAGAAAATCTCAAGCATGGCAGAAAATATCTGAAAATACATTTAACATATTGCACATTCATCCCAACGTAGCATCGTAGTTAGCTGTTATATAATATAGCAACATTCGATTATAGTCAGTGTAGACTATTTAAAACAGACAATACAATTCCTGCTTTTTCTGGCTTCCCCTTTCATGATTTATCTCTCAAAAAACAAACAAAACAAACAGGTCCCACAAACAAACTCTACCTCTCATAAACTATGTGTGTGAAAGCAGGAAGCATTTTTTTAAATTTAAAAAAAATTACCAATACATCAACAGTTGGATACAACATACAAAACACAACATATAGACATAACATGTAGATAAAAGTAAGAAAACAAGAAGAGTACAGCCTTGTTAGTGGCTGTGTGAGGCTGTTTATCAGGGGTCTAGAGTTCCAATTTGTCCAAGGGCAAGATTTTTTCTAAACAGACACTTTGGGGTCTGGACTCAAATAATAATAATAACAATTATGCCTAATTAGCCTATTATTGTTGAATATTTTCACTTCCATAGAAAATGACTCTTATTTTTATAAGATTAAGGGACATTTTTTAAGGGAAATCTATACATTGATCACTTTAAGGTCCAGTGTGTAACAATCAGGAGGATCCACTGACCAAAATGTAATATAATATTCACTGGTATGTTATCATTAATCTGTAATCTGTTCAAAATCTGTACTTTTGGAAATTAAATTGCAGAATGCACTCGTGATTGGCAGGGAATATTAATGAACTTGGTTGGTCACCTGGTTAATACTACAGGCCACAGAATTCTGGCAGCAAAACAAGTAATTTTAATAAAGAGGTCAGGCAATAATCATAATTATTTTATCTGATTTTATACTGCACACGGCATGAGTCTGTGAACAGCAACAGAAAATGCAGTTCTATTACTCCCTGTGATATTTCAGTTGATAGTAAGTCTACTGAAATCAAGATAATTTTTATTTGTCAGTAATTAAGTTTGCCTGGTAAAAAAAAAGTTGCAGCAGTAAGGCTCAAGGTTGTTCATGGTACTCCAAAGAATTATAAAAGCCCTTCCAGTCTGATCATAGTGTGATTAACAAGCCCCACTAATGGTGCTGCTTTGGCTTTGATGACTTCATTTAAATGCAGAGACAGGTGCAAGAATGTGCTCAGAGTTCTTCAAAGTACTAAACAGCAGTGCTCCTCTCATACAGGGACAAATGTTCCTCAATTTACCTCTATACACATGTATTACAATATCCATCCATTAAGATTGAACAA